GCGCTGTACTATTGGTCCCTCCAACCGATGGTCTGACGCAGGTAATCAGACATCTGACAACGCTTGTCAGTGAAATGCAAAAAAATGATGGTGCAAATGGTGCACTTCATGACGAACTTCCACGTTCACCATCAACGCCCTTAATTGGAACGCCCATTCAGTGGCGAGAAAACAGCAGGAAGTCATAGATTTCCTGCGCCAACATAACATCGTTGTCGCGTTTCTAACCGAGACGTTTCTCAAGCCGGAGGTCAACTTTAGCCTGCCAAATCACACAATTGCTAGACTGGACCGAGTTCGAGCACAGAGGGGTGGTGGCGTTGCCATTGCCATCAGGAGAGGACTGGAGTACAGGATGCTGCCTGATTTTCGTCTATCGTTCGTGGAGTCATTGGAGTCAAGCTGGCATCGCCGGATGGTCTCTTCACACTCATTGCCATCTACTGTCCTGCCCAATGTAAGGAGTCGGATGGAACAATCGATCATCTCAAGAATGACATCCAGAAGTTGACTCGTCGAAAGGGTAAGTTTATCCACGCCGGTGATCTCAACGCACGCCATTTGCTGTGGGGCAATGCAAGAAATAACAAGAACGGAGCAGTACTGGCCACGGACCTGCAGGCGGGACACTACGTGGTCCTCCATCCGAACTCGCCTACCTTCTACTCACCAGCCGGTGTCGGATCCACCAACATGGTGGACGGTTGCTCTGAGCTGTCATCCGACCACCTACCGGTGGTTTTCGAGATCAATCAAACCATCAACCAACGTCAGCAGCATCGTAGGTGAAACTATCATCGAGCGAACTGGCCCCAACTCCAGCGGTTTATGGAGGATCGAGTGGTCGAAAATCCTGCGTTAACGATGACGGAAGAAATCGACGGCGTGCTGCAAGCGCTCTCCGATGACATAGGCGAAGCGGAACAACGGTTCATCCCGACAACCCCGGTGACATGAAAGTTTACCAACCTTGATGATGAGACCAAGCGTATAATATCTCGTAGGAATTGTGTTAGGAGTTAGTAGGAAAGTTTTATATAACAAAATAAACAAAATTATTGCCATTAGGGTGGAAAAACTTACGAATAGGCAGTTTGCAAAAGACCTTAGTAGTTTACCAAATTACTCTAGGCCCTTCTGGCGTTTTACAAAAGTGCTTAAAAACAAACCAAAGCCCATGCTGACTCTTAGAGTTGAGGTTCACATAACAGCCGTCGAAAAGGCGAACTCCATTTCTCAACATTTGATGGCTTCGCATAATCTGGGTCGAGATATTATCAGCCCGATGGAGGGTCCGGTGCTTGAGAGCGTCTACCAGCTAGCTACTGAGCCTAGCGAGCTTCCGGCGGACCGGAAAATCACACTTGATGAACAACTTTTTTTTTTTTTTTTTTTTTTTTCTTTATTTAAGAGACTTTCAGCCTTGGGCTGGTTCGTCTCTTCTGGTGAACAACATCAAGTCGACGAAGAACATGAAGGCACCGGGTTTCGACGTACTCTTCAACATTGTCCTGAAGAATTTGGGACCGAAAGCGCATACTCTTCTGGTGAACGTCTTAAATCGCTGCCTGGAGCTCAGACACTTCCCAGCTGCCTGGAAATGGTCCAAGGTGGTACCGATACCGAAGCCGGGAAAGGATCCTACCAACCCGTCAAGCTACCGTCCGATCAGTTTGCTTTCCTCGCTTAGCAAGCTGTTCGAAAAACTCATTTACGCCAGACTTCTCGAGCACACCGAGGCGAACGAGATCCTACTGGACGAGCAATTTTGATTCCGACGAGGTCACTCGACGGTGGACCAACTCAAGCGGGTCTCAAACCTTATCAATCAGGCGAAGTCGGTCTTGAAGACAACGGTCATGGCGATATTGGACATTCGATAACGTGTGGCACGACGGCTTGGTGCACAAGCTTCTGAAATTTCGTTTCCCCAGTCACCTGGTGAAGATCATCTCGGATTACCTCGACGGCAGGACGTCGCAAGTATGCGTAGGCAGTTCTCTCTCGGAACTGTATGATGTACCCGCTGGAGTCCCTCAAGGAAGCATCCTGGGACCCATATTGTACAATCTGTACACATACCGACACTGCCGCAAGGTGGAACACTGTCGCTGTTTGCTGACGATTCGGCAATTACGGGTGACCTTCTCCGGATCGGCACTGCCAGATTACGTAAGGATTGGAAGGGTTCGACTTCCTGTGCGGTTGTTTGTACCGAGGGTGATGAACTGCACAAAGTGTAAACAATTAGGCCACACCGCTGCCTTCTGCGGCAACAAGCCACGCTGCGATCTGTGCGGCGAGAAGCATGCGGAGGGTGCTTGTAGTACTCCTCCCAAATGTGTTTATTGTTTGGCATCTCCGCATCCTCTCGCAGATTGCCCTAAGTACAAGCAACAGGGGGAAAAACTTAAACGGTCCCTGAAGGCACGCTCTCAGCGTTCCTTTGCAGAGATCTTGAAGGCTTTTAATCCTCTTCCCAGAATCACTCCAGAAAAAAATGACAATAACCCTTTCAACCTTCTCCCAGTTGATGAGGACGACACTGATGCCGGGGGCAATGACGGAAGTCATTTTGTTTTCCAAGGTCCTTCTAGGAAGCGAGCCAGGAATGGTTTGCAGAAAACTAAAAACACCACTAGTACTGACTCCCAAGCCCCCTTGGATAAATCAAGAGGCCGTGGAAATGTCCCGAAACCCGTTCCACCGGGTTTCAAGCCTGTCGATTACGACAAAGCATTTCCACAGCTTCCGGGAACATCTAAAACCCCAGATATCCCAGTTTCACAGCCCATGGCGTAACGCCATGTTCACGTTTTCTGGAATAGTGGACAGCATTCTCGATTTGCTTAACATCTCTGACCCTCTAAGGAACATCATTGATATCCTCGTGAAACCTTTTCTGAAGCAACTAGCTTCCAAGTGGCCCCTCCTTGCTTCGATCGTATCCTTCGATGGATAATTTTCCAAAAAACGATACGGTATCTCTCCTACAATGGAATTGTAGAAGCATTTTTCCGAAGCTAGACGTGTTCAAATTCTTGCTAAGCAACCTGAATTGTGATGCTTTTGCTCTCTGCGAAACATGGCTTTCTCCAGACATCGATCTTTCTCTTCACAGCTTTAACATTGTCCGTCTCGATCGTGTAGACTCCTATGGGGGTGTGCTCTTGGGGATCGACAAACGTCACTCTTTTTACAGAATTGTCCTTCCTGCAATGTCGGGTGTTGAAATTGTCGCATGCCAGGTGAATATTCGAGGTAAAAGCCTCAGTATTGCCTCGCTATACATCCCTCCGAGAACGGCTGTTTCTCATCGAACTTTATCGGACATCTGCTCAGTGTTACCTGAGCCGCGTTTGATCTTAGGGGATTTTAATTCCCACGGTACAGGCTGGGGAGAGCTGTACGATGACAATCGCTCAACCATCATCTCCCAAGCAACACGGCTTGTCATAATGAAGTTGAAAATACTTTTCAATGACTTACGTATAGAATCAATAATACTTTAATTTACATCATTTAATACATTTATAACACCTAAAAAGCGCAAGAAGCGGAGCTTATAAAATTAAATACTGGTCTTATAACATGTTTTGAAAACATCATAAAAACCAGCGGCAAAAAATTAAAAAAAAAATGAGCATGGGATTCGAACACAGGTCCTTGACGTGAAAGACTTATTACTTCCTAACTAGACCAACTCCGCTTGATAAAAGGTCGATAATAAATATCTATCATGTTCTTGCTAATGGCATGAAAATTATATTCTTGTGCAACACGCCTGCTTCGATCCGTCATAAAGAAGATTTGTAAGCAGCAATGCGTACGTTTAATTGCCAGAGTGTTATTTAAATGTTTTTTCAACTACTTATAACACATCCTGCACTTTTTCAGTTGCATTAATTTATGAGATGTCTTAAAAGAGTGTTTTCAACTTTCTTTATAACAAACCTCCGAAAACCTCATAAGAAACTGTCAATGACTGCGTGAAGTGACAGTCCGGCTCAATGGCGCCGTCAATGTCTACGTCAATCTGGAAACTGTAAAATCTCTTCAAGAGCTTTATAAATTCAACTCAGATTGATTTTGCATACGACAAGTATTATAGTGGTATTAAATGTTGAAAATGTTGAATTCTAGGAAGTATGAAGAAAACATCTTTAAGCCTCATATAAAACATGGGATGTTTTATGCATCACTTATAATACATTAATACAACATCAATACGTTCTAATTCTTTTTCAGAAAGATGTTTTGTGTGTTACTTGGGCTATGACCTATGCGACAATTTTAACATGACTATTTTAAACACCGGAGAAGTAACACGAATAGCCAAACCTCCAGCAAAAGAGAGCAGATTGGATTTGTCACTTTGTTCGAACTCACTATCATTGGATTGCATGTGGGAGGTGTTCGATACGAGAAACGAAGAAACTCGCGGACACTCGCGGGAAACTCGCGACTCCGCCGACACGGCAATCTTGTGGGCACCAAGAGAAGGCAAACGGACCGAGTCTTTCTTCCACCGAATAAAAATCTTCTATACTTCGTAACTATATTGTACGACTATATTGTACGACCGATAGCAACGTGTGTACGTCCAGATCGGTGACCGGGTGGAGATCAACTGTCTTCTCTATATATCCCGATCTCGGTTACTACAGTCTGCTACACTCTAGATGACTACCTACTATTCAGAGAGCCAGAGAAGCTGGTGCTATCACATAATAGGCTATTGTGATAATCCCGGGTCAGTGAGAGTATATGAGGCACATGTAAAACACCGACATCGATTTACAGGTAATAGGGTGGTGCGGAAAGGATTATATAATTGACTTTAGGATTTGGATTTAAATATAAATACTTTTAAGTGCATGTATCTAGTGGTAAGTTTACTTTTAAGCAATGGTATTTAAACAAATTTAGAATTAAGAATTTGACCTAAACGAACTAACTAACAGACCGGCCACCTTGAATTACATTTCAACATTCAACATTTATTCTTCGTCTTCACTTGAGACTGCGTCAATGGTTGTACCAGCTGCACCTGCAGAGGCACTGTGGGAACCAGGATCGCCTGTTGGTCCTGTGGAGTTTGCCGGTGTGACTGAGGGACCTGCGCATGGACCTGGAAGGAGCGCTGGATCAACCTCGATTGGAAGGATACACAGCTTGGAAATGGCGCGTTTCGTCACGGTTCCGGATGGCAACCTGACAGAGGCTACGCGCACCATTCCATCTGCGCCCGGATGAATGTCTACCACTCGCCCCAGGGACCATTTCAGGACTGGGAGGGACTCTTCCTGAATCATGACCATCGACCCGACAGCCAGGTTGCGGGTTACGGATGACCACTTGTACCGTTGTTGTAGGGTTGTTAGGTACTCACGGTGCCACCTTTGCCAGAAGTGCTGCGTGTGGCGTTGAGCTCGTTCCCACAAGCGTAGACGATTCTCAGGAAGGCTGGTGTAATCGGGGTCCGGCAAGGCATCCAGAGGCCGACCAATTAAGAAATGCCCTGGTGTTAGGGCTTGCAGATCATTTGGGTCACTGGAAAGCGGTGTGATGGGTCTGGAGTTGAGGCAGCTTTCGACTTGCGCTAGGATGGTGCTAAAGATTTCGCGTGGCAAGAAAGCGTTTCCAATGACTCGTCGTAGATGATGTTTCATCGACTTGACACAGGCTTCCCATAACCCGCCAAAATTGGGTGATTTGGCTGGGATGTAATGGAACTGGATCGATTGGGAGGTGGCATCGTTGGAAACGGCATGTCGATGCCCTTAAGAGCGAAACAGATCGCGCAGTTCCCGTCCAGCGCCCACAAAATTAGTCGCATTGTCGCAGTATATGTGCTGTGGCCGACCCCTCCTGGCTATGAATCGACGAAGGCTACCGATGAACGCTGCTGTCGTTAGCTCGCTCACCAGCTCCAGATGCGATGCTTTTGTGGCCATGCAGACGAAAACAGCCACGTAGCTTTTAGTCGGTGCAGATCGAGGGCTTGGTCGTTGGAGATAGAATGGGCCAGCAAAGTCGACTCCAACGTTTTCAAAGGCGAAGGACTGGGTGACACGAACCGCTGGCAGCGATCCCATCAGCCGCACGAGATTGCGGGGCCGTGCCTTCACGCATGTGACACACGCATGTACTACATCTCGAACGAGGTTCCTGCCGCTCAACGGCCAGAATTTTTGACGAATGACTGCTAGCAAGAGTTGTGGGCCACAATGTAGCTGCTGCCGGTGGAAAGAATCAGCAATCAACCAGGTAAGCGGATGCTTGTACGGTAGTACGAAAGGGTTTTTTCCATCACTAGCGACTCCGGCGTGTTCGAGCCGGCCACCAACTCTAATAAGACCAGCACGGATCTCCGGATTGAGGTAGCGTAGCTTTGACGAGTGCGAGACGGTTCTTTCGGCCTGAAGAGCGGCAATTTCGGACGGGAAGTGTTCCTGTTGGATCACACGAAGCACTCCGAGCAGAGTTTGATTTTGCTCTTCTACGGTGATCGGACCGTACTGATAGGTTTTCGCAGGAGGAATGGTTGGCTGATTGCGCCGGTCTGCAAGGCAGCGACAGTTATTAGCAAAACGCATGCATAGTGCACCAATCCGTAGGAAAACGGGAAATGACGAAAAACGAGTTATGATATCGCTTACTTGCGATTCCGTGATAGGAAGCGCTATTCCTCTTTTTGCTTCAAAGTCCTTTTCCTTCAGTCGGCCGAGATCTTCTGGTGGTTGCGGCCAAGGGAGGTTAGGAGCACCGAGCCACAGTGGTCCATTCCACCAAAGTGAATCGTCCAAAAGTTGACTCACATCCATGCCCCTTGAGATGATATCAGCGGGATTTTCTTCGCCGGGCACATGGTTCCAGGTGCAGTTGATTGTCAACTCCTGAATTTCAGCTACACGGTTCGCCACGAACGTTTGCCAGGTGGATGGACTTCCCGACAACCAGTGAAGCACAATTGTGGAATCGGTCCACAGAAATATGCTTTCTTTGATTCCAATGCTGGTGCAGACGGAAAGAAGCAACCGGGATAAGAGCAGCGCTGCACATAGTTCCAATCGTGCTATGGATTTGTTGTTTAGTGGAGCGACTCGTGATCTAGCTGCCAAAAAACGGAATGGTGACGTATCCATCCACTGCGATCATTCGTAGATACAGGCATGCTCCATAGGCGTGCTCCGATGCATCGCTGAACCCATGAATTTCAACAACGGAAGGGCGACGCAGCGACTGAACATGCCGAGGAAATCGAAAAGTTTGCAATCGACTGCAGTGATTCTGGTACTCTTCCCATTCGGTTGCGAATGCCCTAGGCAGCGGATGATCCCAGTTGTAGTCCAGCTTCCATAGCGTTTGGAGGATGATTTTGGCCTTCACGACGGCTGGGCCAAGCAGTCCTAAAGGATCGAAGCAACTGGATGTCTGTGACAGAATGATTCGCTTCGTGTATTGCTCACACTTGGAGAACTTCGGCATCTTGTAGAGGAGCGAATCAGTTGCCGGCTCCCACAGAAGCCCAAGGGCCTTGACAGGAGCTTCGGAATCTAACTCAATGAGCGATTTTGTCTCTCGACACTCTTCTGGAATTTCGTTAAGAATTTCCTGGTGATTCGAGGATATTTTGCGGAGTTGCATCCCAGCACTCTCGAATATTCCGAGAAGTTGGGAGCAGAGTTACCTGAGCTTCTCTAGATCGTCGCATCCCGTGAGTAAATCATCCATATACATGTCCTTGCGGATAACCACCGCCGCCAAAGGAAATCGATGCTGTTCATCCTCCGCGAGCTGCTGCAGGACACGTGTAGCGAGGAATGGAGCAGAACTGGTACCGTATGTAACGGTCAGGAGTTGAAACACCTTCACCGGCTCCGCGCTGTTCTTTCGCCAGTAAATCCGTAAAAGTCGTTGGTCGAGAGGATGCTTGAGGATCTGGCGATACATTTTGCAGAGATCACCCATGATGACAAAAGCTGGCATCCGAAAACGGAGAACGATTGCGTTGATCGTGTCCTGGATAGTTGGACCAGTCAGAAGGACGTCATTCAACGATAATCCAGAGCAGCTCTTGCAGGAAGCATCAAAAACAATGCGGAGCTTCGTGGTCGTGCTGTCAGGACGAAGAATGGCGTGATGCGGTAGGTAGAACTGCGGAACATCGTCGTTTTCTGCTGCCAATTCTTCCTGTGGTATCTCCCGCATATGGCCCAAACGCAAATATTCGTTGATGAACTCTTCGTATTGAGCACGTAGTGTGGGGTTCGCGTTCAGTTTCCGCTCGAGAGCGAGAAACCGACGCATTGCGTTGTGTTTGTTGTTCTGAAGACGAAGCAGGAGTTCTTTTTTCACTGGAAGACGAACTTGATATCGACCCTCTTCGTTGCGAAATACGTTGGCTAAGAAGTGACGCTCACATTCCTTCTCTGTTGGAGACCAGCAATTAGTCGGCGAACACTGTTCCAAGTCCCAAAAGCGTGCCACCAACTGTTCAAGTTTTTGGTTTTGGGTGAGAAAACAGCTTTGGATTGGCGAAGCAGATTGATTCGAGCATTCACCGGAGACAATCCAGCCGAGGATAGTGCTTTGCAGGAGGGGTAAGCGTTCACCGAGAGTTATCCTACCGTAACGCAATAGCTCAAAGAAAGTTCCGGCGCCCAGGAGCGCATCCACCGGTCCTGGAGTAGAGAATGTAGGATCGGCCAACGTTATCCAATTGGGTATCTCCCAATCTACCGTCGTAATCGTGTGTACCGGTTGGTCACAAGAAATAGTCTTCAATACGAGAAATTTTAGCTTCTTTTCGAACGCTGAAATCCGAGACGAGATTGTAGTTTCAACTGCCTTCGAAATCGGAGTAACAAGCTGCCCCACGCCACCAAGGTTGACGTGTTCTGGAGAAACTTGTAAATTTAGACGTTGATGAAGGGACTCCGTCATCAAATTGAATTGCGAACAGCTATCCAAGAGAACCCTAGCAACGACCTGAGCTCCACAATTGTCCTCGAAGTTGACCAGCGCCGTGCACAGTAGAACTGTTTCGTTGGGAAGCTTCGCCGAGTGTGCCACCAGCGCCGCAGGTGGGTTCGATTGTGGCTGAGGCGAAGTGGACAGGTGTGCGACTGGTACTAATGCTGACTGATGGACGGACACAAGAGTTGAGGTAGAGTTTGATCCACTAGGGCCAGGTGTAGGATGGTTCAAAGCGGAATCAGGTGGACAGGTGGAGGCAGGCGAAGATTGTTGACTGCTGTTGGTGTTGGACGACAATGCTGAACAATTCGACTCCAACGGTTGCAGATGGATGAGCGTATGATGACGTTTCTTGCATTTTCTGCAGCCATCCGAAGAGCAATCTTTGCAACCATGCGAAGTGGTTTTCATGCAATTCAAGCACAGGTGATGCTGTTTCACAAAATCGAATCGTTGTCTTGGAGATAGTTTGCGAAACTTGAAGCACTGGTACAGAAAATGATCGCTTCCGCACTGCAAACACTTGCGACCGCCTGTTGTTTCCCCAGACGACGATTGAGCAACATGCAACGTTGAATGCTTCGGTAAAGACTTTACCTTGACTTCGCGGGAACGACCAAGATTGGGGGCGAGAGCTTGAAGAACGCGAGCATGACCTTGCAGAAACATTACCATATCCGAATATTTTAACATCTGGTTGTTCTGCGGCTCTTCCTTCGCAATCACATTGCGAACAATATGGTTTTCCCATTCACGGAGTGTGTTTTGGTCTAAGCGGAGGCTGAGCTGATAGACGAGAATCGTACTCCAGGTGTCCGTTGGTTCCCCAAGCTTTTTGAGGATGGCGATGTTCCGATCGAAGCGGTCGACAAGGTTCAGCAGTCCCTCTGCCGATTCTTGCTTCATCGGAGGAGTGTCGAAGAGCTCCGCGAGATGGCATTTTACCAGTATCCGCTTGTTGTCGTACCGGTTGACTAAACGCTTCCAGGCTTCAGCGTAATTTTCGTCACTGATGGGAATTTCCGCAATTAGACCCGCTGCTTCACCTCGTAGTATACTCTTCAGGTACTGGAATTTCTCCGAAGAACTCAATTCGCCAGACGAATGAACAGCAGCGTTGTACAAATCGTGAAATGAACGCCATCCGAGAGGATTTCCTGAAAATTCTGGAAGCTTCAATTCGGGGTACTTGATATGGTTGGTGAGGGGAGTATTTCTCCGAGACGTCGACGGAACATTAAGCGGCTTCCGTTCCAACAAACGAGCCAACTGCGCCTTCAGCTCGTAGTACTGAGCTTCAAAACTGAACAGCTGCGTCTCGTACTCGACGGCTGGTTCCGAGGATGGCAGTAACTGGAGCTGAATGATCACCTCAACGTACTGATTGTAGAAGCACTCCAATTTTTCCAACCTGACCTGTACCTGACCCGCATGCAAATTAGCATCGTACGATTCGAGAAAAGTTTCGATCGCAGCCACCGAAGAGATGAGGTAGTTTCCTCGGACATCGTACTCCAACCTCTTGGCCTCCATTGCTTCTTTCGACATGGCCATACCTCAAGTGACCACCAATCGACACCGACACGCCACAAAATATCAACGGAATACAAAAGGAACGAACCCACCTGGTATTTGAGAGCGATGAAAATACTATCGAAATGCCGACGGCACTACTCGGGGCTTCCTTGCGACGATGTGCAGAGTTTTCGCCGGTTTACACCAACTGATGACTCTGCTATCGCTGGCTCGATCAACAGCTATTATCTTCGGCTCGTTAGCCCTTTTCACCGCAGTTAGGTCTTCGCCAATAGTTGGCCACGTGATCAATCACCAGGATTAAATATTCTTCGCCACGCGGTGGTAATTAATCACGGCACTTATTGCACATAGCAAGAAAAAATCGCTCTCCAGATAGTTCGGAGAATTTTCACAATGCCACAATCGAAACTTTCAATTTTCCGCGATTGTTCACCATCAGCACACAATCGCCCAAGGCGAACAAATTCACTGGTGCGTTCTTGGCGCTTTCACAACCGTTTTACAGCGCTCAATTTTCTGGACCACAAAGCCCGTTTGGCTTCTTTGTGCTTCACTATTGCCGGCGAACTATTGTTCCATTTACTGGTCACAGGCCAGCCGCAAAATGGCTTTCCTCAGCGTCACTTTGGCACTAGCACTTTGGTCCAGTATCCGGCTCGAAGGACCATGTTCGATACGAGAAACGAAGAAACTCGCGGACACTCGCGGGAAACTCGCGACTCCGCCGACACGGCAATCTTGTGGGCACCAAGAGAAGGCAAACGGACCGAGTCTTTCTTCCACCGAATAAAAATCTTCTATACTTCGTAACTATATTGTACGACTATATTGTACGACCGATAGCAACGTGTGTACGTCCAGATCGGTGACCGGGTGGAGATCAACTGTCTTCTCTATATATCCCGATCTCGGTTACTACAGTCTGCTACACTCTAGATGACTACCTACTATTCAGAGAGCCAGAGAAGCTGGTGCTATCACATAATAGGCTATTGTGATAATCCCGGGTCAGTGAGAGTATATGAGGCACATGTAAAACACCGACATCGATTTACAGGTAAGTATTATAAAAGGATTATATAATTGACTTTAGGATTTGGATTTAAATATAAATACTTTTAAGTGCATGTATCTAGTGGTAAGTTTACTTTTAAGCAATGGTATTTAAACAAATTTAGAATTAAGAATTTGACCTAAACGAACTAACTAACAGGAGGTAATCCAAGACCCCTATGGTAGTGATCATTTGCCCATCAAAATCTCGATCTCTAATGGCTCATCTTCGCAACATCCAATCAACATCGCATACGATCTCACGAGAAACATCGATTGGGAAAAATACGCGAACGCGGTCCGTGGCGGCTCTGAATTGGTCGACGTTCTCTCTCCGTTGGATGAGTACTCCTTCCTATTGCGGCTCATAGTGGATTGCGCGCTTCAAGCTCAAACGAAGCCAGTTTGCCCTGATTCGGTTCCGGTTCGAAACAACACTCGCGATACGTCGGTGGAAAAGAATAACATGGACTCCCCGTTCTCGATGCTTGAATTCTCAATTGCTCTTCTTTCATGCAACAACTCGGCTCCAGGAATGGATCGAATCAAGTTCAACTTGCTCAAGAACCTCCCAGACGTCACTAAGAGGCGCTTGTTGAACTTGTTCAATCAATTCCTGGAGCACAACGTTGTTCCGGACGATTGGAGACAAGTGAGAGTTATAGCCATTCAGAAACCCGGTAAACCCGCGTCGGATCATAACTCGTACCGTCCCAACGCGATGCTGTCGTGCATTCGGAAATTGTTGGAGAAAATGATTCTTTTTCGTTTGGACAAGTGGGTCGAGGCGAATAGCTTACTCTCAGATACGCAATTTGGATGTCGAAGGGGCAAAGGAACGAACGACTGCCTTGCGTTGCTTTCAACTGAAATCCAATTAGCCTACGCTGAAAAACAGCAGATGGGTTCAGTTTTCTTAGACATTAAAGGGGCTTTTGATTCTGTTTGCATCGACATCCTTTCGGACAAACTCCATACCAGTGGGCTTTCACCAATTATCAATAATTTCTTGTACAATTTATTGTCCGAGAAACAAATGAGCTTCTCTCATGGCAACTCGGCAATTTCCCGAATTAGCTACATGGGCCTCCCTCAGGGCTCATGCCTGAGTCCCCTTCTGTACAACTTCTATGTTAAAGACACTGACGATTGTCTTGCCGAAAATTGCACGCTAAGGCAGCTTGCAGATGACGGCGTGATCTCCGTTGTTGGGCCAAAAGCACCGGACCTGCAAGGACCATTGCAAGATACCTTGGACAATTTGTCTACATGGGCAATGAATCTGGGTATCGCATTCTCTCCGGAGAAAACTGAGATGGTTGTTTTTTCTAGGAAGCTTTATCCAGCACAGTTGCAGCTTCAACTTATGGGTAAAACAATCACTCACAGCATGTCTTTCAAGTATTTAGGTGTCTGGTTCGATTCCAAATGCACTTCGGGGAAAACACGTTGCGTATCTGAGTCAGAGGTGCCAACAAAGAATCAATTTTCTTCGTTGTATTACCGGCACTTCGTGGGGAGCCCATCCGGAAGATCTGATAAGGCTTTACAAAACCACCATTCTATTGGTTTTGGAGTATGGTAGCTTTTGCTTCCAATCGGCGGCGAACACCCACATCTTGAAGCTGCAACGGATTCAATATCGTTGTATACGAATCGCACTAGGTTGTATGCATTCGACGCATACAATGAGTCTGGAAGTACTTGCGGGCGTACTTCCCTTACCAGATCGGTTCACGGAATTGTCGTTTCGGTTCCTTATCTGCTGTGAAGTCATGAACCCGTTGGTGATCGAGAATTTTGAGAAGCTGCTTGAACAAAATCCGCAAACACGATTCATGAGCTTGTACTACGAGTACATGACTCTGGAAATTAGTCCCTCCCCGTTCAATACAAATGAAGTATCCCACGATTTCAGTTGTTATTCCGTAAGATTCGATTTCTCAATGAGGGAGGAAATTCAAGGAATACCAGAGCCCCATCGCCCCCTGATTGTACCATCCATCTTCGCGAACAAATACCGCCACGTCAATGCCGAGAAGAGATTTTTCACTGATGGGTCCACAATAAATACGTCCACTGGTTTTGGTGTATACAATGATCTCCATAGTGCCTCATATCAGCTTAAAAAACCATGTTCGGTATACGTTGCAGAACAAGCAGCTATATTGTATGCGTTAGAGCAGATCTCCTCACGTCCCCCTGATCACTATTTCATTTTTTCGGATAGTCTATGTTCTCTGGAGGCTATGCGTTCTATAAGGCCGATGAAGCACTCGACGTATTTCCTTAACGAAATACGATCGTCACTGAGTGCTTTATCAAACAGCTCACATATCATCACCTTAGTATGGGTCCCTTCTCATTGCTCTATCCCGGGCTGGCTAAGATGGGCGCTATGGAAGGCGACATTTACGAGCGACAAATCGCCTACAATGAATTTTTCACAATTGCTCGTCAGCAAGTCCTCATCAACTGGCAACAAAAGTGGAATGATGGTGAACTGGGAAGATGGTTACATTCGATCCTCCCACAGGTGTCGATCAAACCCTGGTTCAAGAGATTGGACGTGGATCGCGATTTTATCCGGGTAATGTCCAGGCTCATGTCCAATCACTACTCGTTAAACGCACACCTCTACCGCATAGGGCTTGTAGATAGCAGTTTGTGTGCCTGTGGAAACGGCTATCACGACATTGAGCATGTTGTCTGGTCTTGCACCTCACATCATGTGGCGAGATCCGAACTAATTGAATCCCTCAGGCCCCGAGGGAAACAACCTTATACACCAATTAGAGACGTTCTGGCTTGCCGTGATCTCGATGTTATGAGATTAATTTACGTATTTTTAAAAAGTGCTGATTTGTGTATTTAGTAGTGTGTTTTAATTCTTTCATTCTTTCATCACTATCCCAACCCAAGTCCCCTCTTGTATCATTTCAGCGGTGCTTTCAATGCTTCGATATCCACAGCACATGCCCGCCAATACAGTGCAGTGACACTCACCCGTCGAATGAAGCAAAAAGAAGATTTACCAATATCCCTTTCCCTTTGCCCCCTCCCCTTTCCTCTAAATAAATGTATTTATTACTCTCGAGTAAACCGCGAGTATTCGGCCCCCATTCTACTAACTTTAGTTGTTAAAAAAAATCATATTTAAATTAATTTGGCTCCGCAAAGCTACCGCATTTGAGCCTTCACAAATAAATGGATTATAAAAAAAAAGTTCCTGAAGATGATTCTAAATATGCCTCCACGCACACGGATAGCCGACGTTCATCGGCTGGCGAATCTCGATCAAATCAATCAGAGAATGACTGTGCTCGCCAGTAAGCACCAAACTAGGATTCTAAATTCAGAGTACGCAAAAATTAGAAATATTTACCTATACGCTTGTTTGCTCTGTTGTGTACGTTTGTTTTGGTTCGTGATACTTAGTCTTTCCGTATTAAAGTTGCGTTACAATCCACTGATCTTTTTGGTTCGGCGATAAAAACTTTGTTTATTTACCGTGTATAATTTGAAAAGTGGAGAACAACTAGTTTTTCACATCTGAATCGGATAAATAAACGAAGTTTTCAACAAGCCAGCAATGCGTACCAGTTTTTGAATGCCACTCTCTACAAATCTTACGTATTGCGTATGCAAATTGGTCTGAGAATAAATCCACGTGGTTTTTGGCGCTTTGTTAACTCCAAACGGAAAAGTGCAGTGATCCCAACGAATGTCTACCTGAACGAAACGACTGCAGCGTCAGCTGCAGAGTCATGCCAGTTGTTCGCCAAGCATTTTGCATCCGTATTCGCGACGAATCCCGCCTCAAACTTTGAAATCGATGAAGCCACCAGTGATGTTCCCGCTGATTTTGTTGAGTTTGCACTATTTGCTGTAAATCCAGAAATAGTTTCATTGGCTGCAAATAAACTGAAACGTTCGTTTGTTCCTGGTCCTGATGGTTTTTT